TCACTCACTCACTCACTCACTCACTCACTCACTCACTCACTCACTCACTCACTCACTCACTCACTCACTCACTCACTCACTCACTCACTCACTCACTCACTCACTCACTCACTCACTCACTCACTCACTCACTCACTCACTCACTCACTCACTCACTCACTCACTCACTCACTCACTCACTCACTCACTCACTCACTCACTCACTCACTCACTCACTCACTCACTCACTCACTCACTCACTCACTCACTCACTCACTCACTCACTCACTCACTCACTTACTCACTCACTCACTCACTCACTCACCCACTCACTCACTCACTCATCATTTGTATGATTAAATTAAACCGATTGTAGTGTATATTGAGTCGACGTTGATTGAGATTTGTTGAATAAACTACTGTTCTATTTTCTGTCTATAATTTCTGCGTTGTATCACATAGTTCTTTGAAAAATGGCTATTATGATTCAGTGTGCTACACTTTTTCCGTCAGTAAATAATTAACTACCATTTAACTGAATTTTCGATTTTGCAATAAACTGTATTATTCTCCCATTTAGTCTCATCATATCACCATAAGTTTAAGTAAGCTTTGTAGTTAATATAAAATAAATAATTTAACCTGATCAATTATGGGCCATAAATTTTATGACAACCGAATCAACAGATGACTCTGCCTGGAGATTCTCTAGGATCACTGGCGATCCCAAACCTGGATAAAGGAGAATGGTTGAGCATAACGTTATTATCCTCACCCGTAGGAAAGAAGCTTGAAAAAGAAGTGCTAAACCGGAAAAATCATTTCACCCTTTTAAACTCTGCCCTAGGATATAAAGGATCGTTTTTTAGAAGAATATATATATATATTCACGTTGTATGTTTATGTCAAATATTTGTATATTCTGAATGAATCTTATTAGTTGTTCTTTTTTCTGATATCTACTAATGTGGATGGGTGACATTGTATCGATAACTTAGTTACTTTGAGTAGTCATCACTTGATAATACTATGATCCACATTATTTCAGGTAATCTATTGTCTAACCATACTTAATCAATAAAATGTTTATTTCATTATCAAAAGTACATAATGAATTACTTTGTATAGGACAAAGATTAAGATTGTACAGAGCTAAATTTAGTTGATAAGATTAGATCATATCTGTATGTGATTGGTTTAATCATTCAGTTTAATCTTAATAGATTGTAAATTCACTTAGTATTACTTGTTTGAATCTTCCCGTTAATGTTTAGGACTGCAACTGGTCAGTCTCCAATTGGCATATGTGCATACTGTGCGTATTGCCTCGATATAGTCTTATTTCACAAGCATGGTAAGCAAAGATGGATGGTGGCTAGCGGTGGAATCCGCTTTGACGCACGTTTCGTCCTACTTGGGACTCGTCAGTTGGATGTACCTGCATCTCAGAGTTGGTGTTCACTCTGGGACTCGAACCCAGTACCTTAATATATTGTAATCTATAAAATGAAAAATACATGGTAATATTATAAATATGATGAGTAATTTACGGTATTGCTCTATTCTTTTGTAAAGTGAATCACATAAGATAGTAGAGTCTCTTACCACAGTCCAGCTAATTTATTTATATGTAGGATGATGTTACTGTTGTACTCATTAAATTATGTTAATTAGAGTTGGTGTCGAACCAACGACCTAACCAATAGAAGATGAGTGTTCTTTTTTAAATGTAAGCTGTGACACCTTAATATTTTCAGAATGGGGTTTGTAGAGATTGTAGTAATTTTAATGGTTGAATCCATTAGTCGACCTAAGCTAAACAATCATTGAAAAAACCGGAGGTTCAGGGTTTGAGTCCCGAGCACGTAATCGTGTATGTACACTGCCAAGGAGCCCCGTACTAGGACGATACATCCGTCCAATGCTTCCAAGTTTTCAGGGGTGGTCTAGATTAGATCGACTAACGAATTTAATTATTAAGATATGGTATTTAAGACTATTAAAAATGTTTAGATATGAATGCAAGTGTGGTTTGTACGTTTTTCATTTTATCTATAAACTATTTCGAATCAACGAGTGAGTCAATATTTTCATCATGAGAAAGAGTTTCCAAACGAATCATTCTTTTTTTCCCCGTTTTCTTTTCTTCGATCTTCTTAACTTTCTGCTTCCATGTATTTCACTTTCGATTGATGATACATACTACTTCTATCTATCGACATCAGTCACAAACACCACAATAGTACACTTGAATCATAATTTAAATAAATAAATTAGTGTCATTACACTACATATTTAATTGTTAAGATTCGACCAATACTATATGTGTTAAACAATATACTAGTATAAACCAATTTTGATCCATTATTTTGAGCTGGTATTAACAGTTTATGTTTACTATAAAAATAAATGAGTTAGATTATTTGAAAAAAAATTGTGTTCTTTATTGAAGTTCGATAATTTCTAGAAATGGATTCCAAAGTACACTTTCCGTCCTATTCGGGATTTGTCAGCTGACTGGACCTGAATAGTTGTTGATATTCATACTGTGACTTGAACATAGTACTTTTCACTTAAGGCTCTAACACATTAATCATTGAGCTGCTGAGTTCAAATAACTAACAACCTGTTAAAACGGGTATGAATTTTTATTCGTAAGTGTTTTTATTTTTCTGTTGTTAATGGTAAATATTATTATTGAAGAGTCTTTTTTAGCATTTGAGCATTAATCGGGTGATATGCTTGTTGCTGTTACGAGTTCACCTTACTCAGTAAACGGAAGGAAAGTCAAAGACACAGTGACACGATAGGCTATTCTAATCCGTTGTCACCGACCCCGCTAAGTAGATCAAGAAGTCTTGATGAGGCATAGAGAATGTATTCTACAACCACCCAGAAAATATGAGGTCTCTAAGCATACAAATCAAGCTAATTTATAAAATGATAGGAACGCCCTTATGAGAGTGTAGTGCCGTGCTTCGATAATAGTTCACTTCGATAACCGTTATTATACCAATCTTAACGGTGTATAAAATCAGAAAGTAAAAGGAAGCGGCAACTACATTTTTATTGATGAATGATGCAGACCAGAAAGCTGTGGGCACGTGAGCAAGTGTAAGCGAGCAAAGCAAAGATGATGCATTGTGGAGATGGCTGGGAAGCCAACTCGCTATGAGCAAGCATTACTCAATATTTATGATCAGACAAAAATGAATGATAGACATATGATGAATAAGATACGAAGTGTGTATACACATGCGCTCATATAAAAAAATAGTCAAGGTTAATAAGCGAATAATGAACAAGATCAAAATATGACTCATAATTGACAGGCGAATTGGCTTGGCCAGTAGCTAGAATAAAGTATATGGGCTTAACGTATAAACTGATACTACAAGAGCCACCAAATAGCGTACTAAAAAAAGTCCGTCAACCAATGACATTCAAGGAATTGCAAGTGGAAATATAATCTGCAGGTCAACTAAGCGTCTCTTGGAGCAAAAAACATAAAATACAATTTTTCAGAATAAAATTACAAAACTAGGGCTTTTTCCAAGTGAGTTCTGGGGATCTCACGTCCTCAACACCGGGGGAAAACTGAGTCTCTTATAAAATATATTTTATGGTTTATACTGTCTATGATGCGATACTCACAGGTTATACGAATTTAGCAAGGTATTGTTATTGGGCTGTTGACGCTCGAATTATGCTACCATTTTAGAAATTTTAATAATAATGATTATGATCACAAGCACTTAAGTTTAGCAGTTGGTAAAGTTAAAATTTATTTAAACTATTTCTAATCTTTTTGACTGAGATCATGAATCGGTCAATGTTAGACCACTAATGAAAACGTGGAAGCACTGGACGGTCGTTTCTTTCTAGTATGAAACTCCTAAGCAGTGCGTGTCCATGATCCCGCGTTCGGAATTCGAACCCAGGACCTTCAATCTCGTGCGCGAACGCTTAACCTTTATATCGTTGATGCTTACTGCTGAGGAGTCCCATGCTAGAACAAAACAGCCATTCAATGCTTCCAGGTTTTCAATGGTGGTCTAACATTGATCGATTGATGATCTCGATCAAAAACTTAACAATCTCCATAACCCTATACTGATATTCTTAATCTATTTGTAGATTTTATTCTAGCCAGTGTTAAGCGTTATTCAGTGAACTTTTTTACTGGGATACCTAACAGACACATCAAATGATAGCATGTTCACTAAGTAAGTACTTATAACTTTCGATGTCAAAACGAAATCCTCTTATTTATATTGGGAAAAATATATTTAAGTCGAAACAAAATTCATTTTAATCCTAAAACTATTCACTTATTATGCTTGGTTATGCAATTCAAATGAAAATATCACTATTCACTTATAGGTGTTCTAATTTACACGATGAGAATATTTATTATTTCAATTAGTTTGTTAATAAGATCATAGTTGCTTGATACAGTTTTGGCAATATTTTGATCCTAGTGATGATGATAAATTGCGGTTGTAATATACAGATCAGTCATAATCTTCATTGGTATGAATATGAATCATATAAACGAAGACAATACTTGTCGTTGAATCTATTTCTTATTTCCTAACACCATTTCTTCTTCGCCTAACTCTGCTAATGTATTACACTATATAAATTGTTAGTAACCAATAGTTTAAGTTGAATGCTTCTTTCTGTATGTCATACACGCTAAGGAAATGAAGTTTACATGCCCAGAATTGATTAATTGAAAATGATACTCCTTGATCAAATAACTTATAACAGATACTTTCACTGAGTTATTCAACAGCTGTCCGTGTCAACCGAGAGAACCTTATCGATATAAACAACACTGACTTTTTAGGTTTCTGCTCTAACTGGTTGAGAATGATATTGAATTTCCTTATAATCTATGGGTCACGATTAGGGAGATCAATCTCAACTTGGTAGGATAATGAAATTCATCTGAAGTGTTTAGGAATCTATAGAAGTAAACTAACTAATTGATCTATTCTTATCAAGAAATGAAATCTGAATAATACTCTTTTTTTGAGGAAAGTGCAGTAATTTCCAAAAGAAAAATGAACAGAACAGATAACGAATCTTTTTCATTACAGCAAAATTTTGAAGTTATTAGCATACTACTTTAAAATAAGTCAGTAGATAAAATAAGTCAAATAAAAATGCGTGTAAATCACATCGGTACATAGATATGGAAATTTTTTTGTGCGTAAATGAATTTATGGAAAATATTTTTCCTGTTTAATAATATCACATAATTCTCATTCAATCTACAGTACCAACATAGTTTTATATATACACATATACATACATTAATCTATCCGATAAAACCACAATTTACAACCTATAAGAGTGAATTGTCATTAATAATCCAAAGTTGAATTTCACATACTGATGACTAGGATGATATCGGAGCAGTAGATTGAATAAGATTAGTTCTTCTTCGACTATCCAATGAAGTTAAACCAGGATTGATATCAGTTTGATTTGGTGATATGACTATAGAAAAATAAGGACTGACATTATCTTCCATGGTAGTTAATTTTGTGTTTAGCATTGAAGTTGTTGGAATTGAAAAGTATCTTTGATTAATGATTGAATTAGGAAATACATCTCTAGAGTTCAATAACACATTTAAATGGTTGAATGAACGATTTAAATTGTATAGATTATCAGTTATTTGAGGATTGAATCCTTCTAGTGTTTGTAAATTATTAATGAATTGTGTACTATGACTATGTGTTAAATACAATGGTAGATTAAATGTATTTCTTTCTGTATTGATATGGTTATATAATTTCATTTGAGGATTTGACTGAATTGGTACATTCATATGAAATTGATTCACAGAATTATCACAGTAATTATTATCATTAAATTGGTAATTTGCTCTTTCAAGATTGAAGTCTAAATTAATAAGAGTAAGTTGTTAATAAAATGCTTAAATACAATAATTTCATTATATAATGAATCTTACAATAAGTATACACGAAAAAAACTTCAACATGAAATAGTTGAACACTTGTGGTTATATATCTTGCAGATTAATTCCATTTATTAGAGGAGGTTTTTGTGGAGATTTCAATAATTTTTTATAGTTGAAATCATGAGTCAATTGAAGCTAGACCACCGTGGAAAACCTGGAAGCACTGGACGGCCGTTTCGTTCTGTTTTGGGAATCCTCAGCAGTGCACATCCACAATACTACCTGACGAGCTTTGAACCTAGGACCTATCGGTCTCGCGAGCGAACACTCAAGGTCTAGACCGCTTAGCCGGTCGGCATCCAACAGTGTTAATGTCTAACTTCAACCAATCCACGAAATTGAGCGACACATCCACCATTGTGTTCAGTGAGTTGATGTCTCACAACAGACCTGGTTGAACTCCACTGATCACTGCTTCTCACTAGGACTCCAAGAAATATCTCTTGAAGTCAGTCACTAGTGAACATATGATAATTATCAGAAGGGGTTTTTGTAGAGATTTCAGCAATTTTTTATCCCATTTAGACAAGCATTGAAAACCAGGTGTGACTAGACAGCTTTTTCGTCCCAGGATTGTATTCACTAACACAGTGCACACAAGACCTTAATAAGGGTCAAAGTGATATACTTTAGGATACAATAATGTTAGTAAAATGGATTAAGTGTCAGAATGCATGCCAGTACTTATTATTATTGCACATTACGATAAAGATACGGCAAGCCATGCTCTCAAAAATGATTTGAAAGAACATTAGCTACTGAATATATAATTCAAGTGGTATTTTTTACTTGAATCTTCCCATTAATGTTCAGGGTTGCAATTGTTTAGTTTCTTATTAGCATATGAACATCCCGTGAGGATCTCCTTAAATCACAAGCACTCAGAGCAAAGATGGATAGTGGCTAGCAGTGAGATCCGGGAAATGCATTTCGTCCTATTTGAGACTCGTTAGCTGGACGTATCTGCATCTCAGAGTTGACTTTCAATTTTGGATGGTGTTTGAATCGAATACTATTGGGTCGGAGTGCCATAGTGAACATCAACTCTGAGATGCAGATACATCCAGCTGACGAGTCCCAAATGGGACGAAACGTGCATCCTGGATTTCACTGCTAGCCATTATCCATTTTTGCCTACTGAATATTAGTAAGTAACATAATTCAACATATCGGAAACGAAAGAGGTGAAAATGAAATGATTGGTCGCAAAAGAGAATTTTCGCTACAAATTAGTTCTATATTATGATGAAATAGATTTATGAGCGTCTTCTAATCCTAATGGTTCGTAAATGATGAAAAATGCCAATAAATCGAATTTACTTCAAAAGATCACCAAAATATTCCGTTAGTTAATGGTTTTCAACATTAATAGCTTAATATCTTAACGTCCATTGATACAAAAAAACTGTTAGTGATTTTGTTCAATGATTGTAGATATTTCCTTATTTTAGTTAGATTAGGATGGAAATATCATGATATCAGAGAGTTATCTTTGATATGTTATCATACAAAAACATCGAACCATTTGATGTATCCACCATGATTTCACCAAAGTTATTTTCTTATGATATAAGTAGAAAATTTGTTGATAACCATTTACAACAATTTACATATTCTACTTTCATGCTACATTCCTCGTTGCCTAGTTTCTTTTTGTCTATCATTTGTGCTACTTACTAATTTTGAGTAGCTTATGTAATTAAAAATAAATTTTAAACGTTAAAAAGACTGGAGTATCAAAATGAATCTGTGACATTCGACCCCCTTATCATAATAATAATGTTATTCTACAGTCCATAACAGTTTAATTTTATCGCTTGTACACTCATGAGACATTTTTTATATGTGCCAATTTACATATTCACTTCTCATTTCGTCATGCTAGCACCCATTATTGAATTTGATACATTTACTGGTTGTTACTTATTTATATGTTCTTCAAAATGATTCCGAAGCAGAAAATTAATGAAGAATTTCTTCTTTAATCTTATTTTAACGCATGTAAGTACTTTAGATACATCAATAATGTTGTCATTAATAATAATGTCATTTTTATAAATAAGTCCTGAGTCCTGGGTTCGAATCTCGTGAGACGGGATCGTGGATGCGCACTGCCGAGGAGGAGTCCCACAATACGAAGAAACAATCGTCCAGTGTTTCCAGGTTTTCCATGGTAGTCTAACATCAACTGACTCTTTATTTCAACTGTAATATTCTTTATAATTTAAACCCTCAAAAAAGGATTTACCAATAGATGAATATCACAATATGAAGTAAACTTACTTTCTATATATGAAGTAGAATCAACACAAGGATGAATTGTATAATCTTTATAAATTTGATTCATTGATATCATACTTTTATGATCATATTTATTCAATGAGATTAAACTAACACAATCATAATGTAATGATTGTTGACAATCTATATTTGTATTAAATAAATGTTTTGAATTTGGTAAATGACTAATTTCTTCTTTATATTCCATAAATTGTTCAATTGAATCTAAATCTTTCATAGAACTATTCATTGTTTGTTTACATTTAAACCAATGAATAAATGAATGAAATAGATTCATGGTTAATAATGATGTTTCATTGGGTAATAATAATTTGAATAGGATTGGGCACCATTTATTTATAAGAATATATAATACATTGATAGCAGCAATAATAAAGAATAATATAGCTAATCCTAAACTAAATAATAAACTGAACTCTAATGTTGTTAACTGCTTTGTTTTATTGTTGAAATGTTCATTAGAATGATAAATTTGTTGAGAATTTGTCAAATTATCTGGTTTAAAACAAAGAAAAAAATTTGAATAAGGTATATATATTTTTGAAAAAACATTGTACTACTTGTTAGTAGTATGGTTTATTCTACTTATACAAACAGATAATCAACATATGAAACTAGGCTATATTGTGATGTGGGTTACTTATATCCATATAAGTAGCATATTACAATGGTTGGGCAATGATTGTATATTACAGTAGAAGGTCGATAATGAAAGAAAGGAAACGAAGAGTAGTTGTTGTGAAAATACATGAACAATAATAATAATAATCGGAGACGACGAACTGATCTTTACAGAAGGAACAGTCAAAATTGAGTCGATTGATTGATAATTTACAAATTAATTGTTTACTGTATGGTTATCAAATTTTAATGAGATATTCTGTAATTTTGTTCGTAAATACATTCGGTTTTCCTCACCCGTGTTCTTGTTTATTATAATACCACTGAGTGACTATAATTTTATAAACTATTCTAATTCAATTAGAAGGCATTAAAGATAAATGAATGGTTCACTATACTAGGGAAAGGTTATGAGATTAAAACATGAGGTCTAGGATTTAGGGTTAGAATAAGATTGTGTATTGCATAACACGTAAACTAAACTAAAAATACTATAATGTTAAATTTCTAAATTCTACTTCTTAGCCCTGACACTAAATCCTAAATTCTTTATTCTAGTCCTAAAGCTCAAATCTTAGTCCCAACAATTAACTGTATTTAAATAGGTTAATAGTGTTTTTGTTGAGTGGGACTATTCATAATACAGTCAATAAGCAGTAATCTCTTATTAAGATCACCGTAAGAGAAAATACAATTTTTACATATATATATATATATATATCGTAACTTTGGAGCTGTCTGCATCTTTACCCTTGGCTCACTGATATATTTCAGCTCCATAAGATTATGATAATATCATGTTCTGAGGAAAGGGATTGTTGTTTGTTCTTTTGTGTGCGTTCTAACCTAAACAATCTATATTATAGAAATGTAACTTTCGGAATACCTTACCAAACAGGAACTAAAAGGATTTTAGATGAATTACCAAAGTTGTTATTATCCTAGTGAAGACATAAGTACGGGTAATTTCCAGGACCTACTAATGGACTATTATTCTATATATATTCTTATTGTATAAGTATTCAGTGATTAGATTCAATTTATATATATTCATCTTATTATAAGCTTCATTTTGACCTATGGATTATTATTATACGATTTACTATTCCTAAATTATATTCAGTTTATTGATTATTGTCTCCCACATTCACAGCCACATTTCGCTCGATCTTGTACATATATTATTTTTTATTTTATGGTGTGATTCAGTCTGTCTGTCTGGTATATAAACCGAATATAATTGAAATAAATGATTCGCATAGCAGAAGCTGTAATTGGTGTTCTGGACTCAATTGGAAGGGCTAGGCGGACAAGGGACCAATAAGGACGTTAGACTGCTCATACCAGTTGAACGTCATTGTTTTGGCACAGTATTAAGATTAGACAAGTCGTATTTCGATTGGTGGATAATTCACGTGATAAAAATCCGGAAATAAGAGCACAACAAATTGGCATACGGCCTTCTTTTATAAAGTCATAACAAAAGTGAATGAAGTGGAGTAAAAACATGTAATGATATAAATTACTATACCGCTAAAGTTCTTTCAGTTAAGTAATATAGGTGTTTTGTGAAAATTTTCATCATGAAGTAAACTTACTTCTTAAACTGACTTAAACTAGATGACCTCTAAATATTAGGGCAGATTTTCCAAATATGTTCCAAACAAGTTTGGAACTTTTCAGAAGTAAGTACATACAACTTCACTGCAGACAAACGTCAAGAGAAATTCAGGCTTAAGATAATATTACAGTATGGAACCCATAGAATTGACGTCTTGTGATTCACTTTTTCGGATTTCAAATCAGTAGATTTGTTAGATTTATTGATTTCAGAAATTTAGGCTTATGGTATTGTAAGCTATGTTCAAATAGTAAGTTATTGGGTCATTAAGGTCATATGCTATGCAGTTTGATTTATTTTAAATCTCACTAATTAGTACATAAAACACATATAAATATCTTGATGGAGTTTTGTTCTTTGAGACAGATGGTTTGGTCGTGGAGCTTTCATCGTTATTCCGGACGACATCATCAACACAAACTTCAGGTAAAAGTGAAGTGTTCGAATTTTTCCACAAATGGCCTACAGCTTGTCCTGTAGACCTCAATGTCGATTAGTTATTTTTGATAGGTCAAAGGTCAGCAATAACCAATCGACATTGAGGTCTACAGGACAAGCTGTAAGCCATTTGTGGAAAAATTCGAACACTTCACTTTTACCTGAAGTTTGTGTTGATGATGTCGTCCGGAATAACAGTGAAAGCTCCACGACCAAACCATCTGTCTCAGAGAACAATACTCCATTAAAATCATTCACCTGAGATACAAATCTCCACCAACACATAAATATCAATCAATTTATTCACATATGGTTTTTAGGTATTACTGCAAAGGTTGAACTTGATAGTTTTAAATAAATTGAGCATTGGGTAGAGAGTTTATAATAAGTGCTATTTGTAATATTCCAATGAGCAGAAATGTAGTGAACGAGAACACAAGCGATGACAATTGAATGTATTTGAATACAAAATTACAGAATGTTTTAGCAAAATTTGAGATCCATACATCAAATACTTCATTTGCAAAATATCAATCAATTATCTCAGACTTCATTATTCCTTCGTTTCCACACCATTCGCTCTCTGTTTCCGTTTTCTTTTCTTTGATCTTAACCTTCTACGGCCAAGAATTTCACTTTCAAATTGATGATACATACTAGTATATCTGTTGACATCATTAGCACACACCACAGAAAAATTGTATTCCTGACGTTTCGTGACTTAATGTAAGGCACATGGTAATGATACTTCTCTCTTCAATTCTAGATAATATCAGTAAGTATTTTGAAATGATCATTGGTACATAATAAATTTAGCTGCACTCTTCAATACATCACCTATTGTTAGTCATATCCACCAAAGATTGATCTATGTTGAGATAACATAGTAAGTATGCATCCACGTTACCGTCAATGACTGAACTTCGGACGTTCAGGCATTGAGGCCAACGCTTAACCATTTGAGTTACTTCTAATGATCATCAAGTTAGCCTGAAGTAGCTTCTCATTGCTTCCTGGTTTTTGATCGTACCCCGATTGAGGTTGGTCTGTGACAGATCAAACATACAAATTAAACCAATCCTCCCGAAAAACCTTTTAAAAATAAACCACATTTTACTTAAGAACTAAAATATGATTTTTCGATCAATAAAAGGTCTAACCAAAAAAACTACTCAAGTTTTATAAAATTAAGTAAGAATCATTAGCGAATGTGTTTTCACATAGAAAAATTCTTACTTAGACAAATATCGTAACAAGATAGATGTTCAGTATTTTCACCATGACATTTTCTCCCACCTCCGTGTGGTTCTGGAGCATTACACCATCTTGTACGTTTTCCAAACGATTGACGACATTGCGTAGAACAAATCAACTTACTATTATATTCTGAAATTTTACTCTGATTAGATAATTGTGACATTGTCGAGTTAGCCTGTGATATTACACAATAATCTGGACAATTTGACCATGGTGACCAGGTTGACCAATGTCCATCAGCTAGGAGAAGACAAAAATTGCGAAAAAGTATAACAGGGTTTATATCGTTATTAGTATGGATTTGAATTATCCTTTTGTTGATATTCATTAGTGAATTTTCGATCAGTTTTTGTCTGCCTATGTATTTCCCTGACCAGATTGCCATGATATAACCATTCTGTCATAAATTTTATAAATAGATGGATTGTAACCAACTGTGGTGTCCAGTACGGATGTGACTATCAACGATAGGATATAGCAAATACTTCTAGCTGTCAAGTCTCAAATAAGCCGAAATACTCTTCGCGGATCCACTGTTAACCACAATTCATCTATTCTGCAAAATTAGTGACAGAGTTCGGTCTTATGTGTATATGATTGAAAGACCAATAAATGATTCGATTTTCTTATACATTTTTTATAAACTAGGCGAAAAAAGGAAGAACATATGAATTCATCTGTGAGACTATAATTTATGGATTACCTTTGAGCAACGCTGAAGTGACCTTGAGAAAATTCACCTTACTAATAGACTTAAATGAGGGCTATAAATCAGCGTGAAGAATTAGGATCAGGATTTAGAGTTAGAAGTTAGGGTTATGAATGAGAGTTTGGGGTTTTCATCACCAACTGGCAACAGCTATAATGCCAAAATGCTATTTAGCCATATGAGTGAATATGTTTCTGACCAAAATCTAAGATCTGCTATCTTAAGTCTGATTGATCCGTTCATAAATTATAGTCTCCCTAAATGACCAATTTTTGTTGTTCACTCTTATTTATTTCATAAAGAACTTTAAAAGATCTTAATTTTGCCTAAATAATCACTAGGGAGGATTCTCAAATATCATTTTGGAATCAGATAATCATTGTAAAACCAACCACTGAGATGGTACCAATAATGTACTGAAAAGCAAATAATTCACACAGAGAATCCAGAGAACCCTAGCGAGGAGCCGGGAACAGTGAAGTTTGATAATGTTGAGAGTGTGATAGGCGAAACCATTGGCTGATGAAAGTGGAAAATGTAAACCATCGGATGCCAGCCTTGCGGTTTGTGAGTTGTAGGTTTACACGAAAGTCACGGATTCAGTCACTGGTACGGTAGTAACTACAAACGACTAGAATGTTTCATACTAGAGGGTAAATGCAGCCCATTTCCTTCAAATATTTAATAATCATCTATCTAAAGTCACTCCGTAATGAAAATTATCTTTAAGTTGAACGTTCTTCACAAATCTCCCTTGATACGCATTTTGCTAATACACTGTAAAGGCTAAAAGTGGTTACTGTAGTGAATGAGAACACTGCTGGGGGCAATCGAATTTATTTAGACACAAATTACAGACTATCTCACTAAATTTTGTTAACCATACAGCAAACAGTTAGTTTGCCAAAATAACAATCAATTATCTCAGCTTCACTGTTCATTCTGTAAATATCCGTTCACCTACTCTAATTCCATTGTTCATGCATTTTCCTACCAACTACGCTTCATTTCAGTTCTTTCCTTATCGGTCTTCTGCAAAAAGGCATTCTATGTCTGACCATCACCATACACTACTTATATAGATATAAGTAGACCACATTGCAGTTACACTGTAAGACTAGTATATTTTTAATGCTAATAAAATCGTTAACATTGTATCTTTTAAAAAAAATATTAAATAATGTAACTAACTATGTATTGTAAGTTGAGCATTCGATGAAATACGTCGTCCAGCTAGATTTTCAACTACACATGTATAAACACCTTCATCATTCAAATGTGTATGACGTATAATTAAACGACTAATTAATCCAGAATCATTTATATTTAAATCATGATTTATAATTTGATAATTAAAAATATTATTTGTTTGTTTTAAAGATTTTGACATTGGATCTTGCGAATGATTCACTTCAAGTTTACGTCCATTCTTCATCCAATAGACCTAGATTTGAAGAGGAAATGTTAATATGTTTAACATAAACTTTCTTTGAAGATTATCAAATAGTAACCATTTGAACAAAATAATAGTTTTATGAATAGTCTCACTAAGGTTGAAAAATGGTTAATTCGTGAAAAATTATTATACTACTTACAAAGGTTGAGAAGTTCATAATGGTATATAAACTAAATTGATGATCTTTTTGGGAAATGATCATACTGGTAACTAAATGTCCGGGAAACTTCTACCAATTTATGTGAAATTTTAAAAGATATAATTGTATTGCTCAAATGAATAATTACTAGTCACTAAGAGAAACATTTCTAGAGAATTGTAAGCAACGATGAATAGTAACTAGCAATGGAATCCAGGATGCGCGTTTCATCCTATATGGGACTCGTCAACTGGATGTACCTGAATTTCAGAGTTGATGTTTACTCTGAGTGGATTACGTGATGGCGTTAGAAGCGAACACTACTGGTTTCGAGTTCCAGAGTGAACATCAACTCTGAGATCCAGGTACATCCAGCTGACGAGTCCCAAATAGGACGAAACGCGCGTCAAACTGGATTCCATTGCTAGCCACTATCCATCTTTGCTTATAATGCTTGTGAAATAAGGCTATATCGAAGCAACACACACGTTATGCACATATACCAATTAGAGACTGACCAGTTTCAGTCCTAAACATCAATGATAGGATTCAAGTAAACAATACCAAGTGAATTTGATCTAGATTATTTATTTGTGGAGCCTTAATTATCATTGTGAACAATATCGCCAGAGCTAACATTTCAAACACATATGTACTGCTTAGTTATTTCATAATTATTAAATTAGCTCTTCTTAATAGACCTATTTGTGACTGGTTGTTTTAGTAGATTTCATAATTCTAAATATTTGATTTACTTAAAAGTGTTCAACTTAACGGTTATGCATGAAGATGGAAGATGGAAATCCAAATAATAATATCAAAAGTAATTTTCTATTACATGACATCTTAATGATTTAAAATACCTTTGGTATTGGTCTACCATCTGGTGGTTCACATGTGAATTCCACAGTCCAACCAAGTGGTATTCTTGTTGACTCTGGATGTTTTATAAAACGTTTGTTTAAATCTAAAATAAAGTTGAATAGAAAATAAAACTAAATGAATGTTTATGAATTTATTTAATGACTTATATAAATATCATCAATTTTAATTAAGAGAGTACATTTACTCAGTAAAACAATGACGTAAATATATCTGAACTGTTCTTTAACTCAGTTGTCACCATTGAATATGTTATGTCCTGAGTAGAATTATGAATGGTAACTTTTGAGAACTATTTATGGACCAATAGGATATGTATATTTCCTATTGTATAATTGTTAAGTAACTAAACTATTCATATTCATGTCCCTTTTATTATAAACTTCATTTTGATCCATAAACTATTACTGTGCGAATTATGATTCTTGAGTTATCCTTAGTCCATTAATTACCGTTTCCCCTATTCACAGCCACAATTGGCTAAATCCTGTACAAATGTTATTTTCTATTTTATGGTACGATGTGGTCTGTTTCATTGGTATATTAACGAAGTATGTTTGAAATATAATGATTCATATTGCAGAGGCTGTTATTGGTGTTTTGGACTTAACTGGCTGGGCTAGGCAGATAACAGGACCGACAAGTGCTCTAGACTTTTCGTACGGGTTTCGTGTGTCATTGATCCGATCGATAAATCATTGCTCTCCAATTGGCAGGAATCATCACATTATATATTAACAGGGCATTCAGGTACACACGTTATAACAGAATAATTATTATTTCTTCATTATGCCTTATTTATGTTCATTGATGAATTTTAATTTATGGTTTTAGAAAGTTAAAGAAGACAAGAAAATGTCCTTGGAAAACTAGGTTTGACGTTAGGTGGCTTTATACTATTTAGTACTTGTCAAAAAGGAGTTCTTACGATTTTGAGTAAATTGACTCCTCCCATGTAATTTGAAATCATGCCACCCAGCTCAATGCTCCGAGATGTTACCGCTGATCTTTTCATTCGGAGGTTTATTTTCTATGGAACTGAGATATTTACATCAACATTTTATTTGTCAAGTTCTTATTATTAATTGAATTATATTGCCCAAGTTACAATGTAGCCATTAGTCAAACTAACTTGTCTTAACCTTTGTGGGGGCCAGTTTAGCTTAGTGGTAATGTAGTGAACAGAACACGACTGGGGGACAATCGAATGTATTTAGTCAAACATTACAGACTATCTCAGTAAATTCTGATTACCAAACAATGAACAGTCAATTTGCAAATTAACAACCAATTGTTTCAATCTTCACTGTTTCTTCTCTTATTCCATTGCTCATGCATTTTCCAGACGATTGCGCTTCATTTCAGTTCTTTGCTCATCGGTCTTCTGCCAAAATACATTCTATGTCTGACCCACACCATATACTACTTATATAGATATAAGTAGACCACACCACAGTAACATCACAGAATGTAAGATTGAGTGACAAGTATCTGAATCCTATAGGGACCATCAAGTCTCTCAAGATTGTAATTAGTCCTTACTGAAAAAAGTCAATTACTAGTGTCCGTATATAGGTAATATGTAATTATGACCATATAACTGCTACACTAATGAAGTAAACTGGTATCAGTCAGAGATGTTTTCACTTGGTTGATTTCGGACTTTGTAAAGTTCATTCCTCAATCAAATTCATGTCTCACAATATAGCTACATTTACACAAGTATTCCTTTTTCATCTTTTAGGAATAGCTAACTAATTACTGTCAATTTCAATAACCATAATATTGATGATAAAATAAACCGTATTGTGATTATTTAATGAATTTCGACTAATATATATATATATATATATATATATATATATATATATATATATATATATATATAGGTTTTGTGGAGATTTTAGTAATTTTATAGTTGAAATCATGAGTCAATTGAAGCTAGACCACCATGGAAAACCTGGAAGCACTGGACGGCTGTTTCGTCCTATTGTGGGATTACTCAGCAGTGTGCATCCACGACCCAGCCTCGAGAGATTCGAACCCAGGATCTATCAGTCTCGCACGTGAGCTCTTAACCTCTAGAACCACTGAGACGGCTGGCATCCAACGGTGTTAATGTTTAAGTTCAACCAATCCACGAAATCGAGCAACTGTCCACCATTGTGTTCAATCAGTTACTATCTCACAACAGACCCGGTTGAACTCCATTGGTCACTGCTTCTCACTAGAACCTCAGGAGATACCTCACTGCTGAGGAGTCCTACAATAGGATGAAACGGCCATCCAGTGCTTACAGATTTTCCATGGTGGTCTAGCTTCTATCAACTCATGATTTCAACTAATATATATATATATATACATATCTTCACTGAGTATTCTAAAACAGTTATTGTTGGAATAAGTAAAAAACCAACTTGGTAATGAAAATTATTGTCAAATTTTTTTCGTTGTTCTTCTATTGTATGAAGTAGCTGATTAAACATACTATCTATTGTTAAAGTTAACTAACTGTTTTGGAATAACGGTTAATCATATGATATGATATGAGAGCATATTACAAAATCGGTTAAGTTCAGTAATGGTGAAAAACTAACTCAGAGAAACATGTAACTAGTCAAAATTAGTTGGTGATGTAAAATTTCAAAGTTATCAATCTCAACAACGTCTCGTAATAGCTATTAACTTTAAGAGACCACTCCTAAAATTCTAGTGAGATGTTGATCAATGGATTTCAATCATGTTTGACGTGAGACATTTATCCTTAATCACAATGGATGATTCTGATTCAATAGTACGAATTTAATAAAATTGGATATGTAAATTATCGGATGTTAACTCAATAGTCTGATAGTTAATCACACACCATGAGGCCTGGATATGCTGAGCTCTGTCTTTAATGAGGTTTTCAATAGTGGTCTATCTAAGATTATTTCATGATTTAAAATTATGAAAATTCTACAATCTAAACAAATCCACTGCATACTAATGTTGAGGACGTTACATCCCCAGAACTCACTTGGAAAACGTCCTAATTTTGTAATTTTATTCTGAAAATTTGAATTTTATGTTTTCGCACCAAGAGACGCTTAGTTGACCTACAGCTTACATTTCCTACTCGCAATTCCTTGAATGTCACTGGTTGACGGATTTTGTAGTATGCTATTTGATGGCTCTCATAAGTGCGTTTCTATCATTGTATAAATAAGCTTGATTTGTGTGCTTAATGACCTCGTATTTTCCGGGTGCTCGTAGAATATATTCTCTACGCCTAATCAAGTTTTCTTGATCTAGTTAGCAAGGCCTGGGACAAAGGATTAAAATAGCCTATCGTGTCATTGTGTCTTCGACCTTCGTTCTGTTTACCGAGTAAGGTGAACTCGTAATGGCATGAAGCATATCAACTAATAATTCCATTTGATTAATATATTCATTTTTGATATGATGAGATGAAACAACAACATCTGTTTTAATTCAGTGTAATGGTTACTCACTGTAGTATTTCTTTTGTCTTGATGTATGATATTTTTCTCGGTATAACAATAATTGATTTGAATGTGATGTTTTATTCAAGATACAATATTCTTGTATTGAATGAACATAGACTATGCTCAGTATGACACTCAGCGTGTAATTTGTTATAACTCTGGGTATTTTTCATATATATGATCTCATCCTAATTATGAATCAAAATGGGTGTACAATCAATATATAAATGAGTGTATTTTCGACTAGGGTCATCATTGTTGTTTTATGGAGTTAATAAATATTCACTTGTATCAGTCTTGGTGTACTTACTTCGCGTTAAATGAATCTCAGCTGTTCTTCATTTTACAAGTACATGTAGTAACTGATACTGACATAATAATTAACGATGACCAGAAATAACAATTGGTGACGTAATCTCAACAATTGACTATCAGTTAAAACAACTTTGATTTTAATCATCAATTTTTAAAGTTTAAACATTGAATGAAGTATGAAGTAAGTATTTCTTACCAAAGTTACTCTATTTTTCACCATGACAACCTTTACAGTCATGTGTGCACAAGAATAAACAAACAAACAAAAACAGAGTAGCACAAAAGAATCACATTATTTGTATTTAAATACATGATTTAATAATAATTATATTCATCATTTTCAAATCTCTTCATTATTATTATGATTAGCTGTAGTAACATGGAATCTAGTTGACATTTTGTTGTTATGGCACTAAAATGTAATTTGAACTAGTTTACTAAAAAGTATAGATTTCGTATACATTATTATTATTAACTATTTCACTTCTGTCTTGCTTGTTTCCAACTAATTTCCATTTATTACATAAACACACACACACACATACACGTATATATATACATACAACATGCAACAACTGTAACCTTGATCCTAATATGACGTTGACATGGTGACTGAATTGTTCTATTTAAAATATGGAATATAAAATATTATTTTTTTTGGTCTACTGAACCTATTCTTCGAAATCTTCATTATTGTTAACAATGTCACTTAATCAATATGAGGTAAATGCAACGATGTATAGTTTACCGGTGATGAAATTTATGATTACGAATTATTTTGTCTATCATCCTTTTTATGTATATTAACTGATTCTAGATTTGTGTCTATTAGATGATATTTGACTGGGACTCGAACCCTGTACCGTTCTCCTCAAACGCCATCACGTTATCCACTTAGCTACTGAGTCCTGATAGCCACTTGCTTGTGTGATAGGATGAAGTTTAAATTCCCTTAGTATTGTTTGTTTAAATCTTTTCATTGATGTTTAGGACTGCAACTGGTCAGTCTCAGAGTGATCATCAACTCTGAGATGTACACACATCCAGCTGACGAGTCCCAAATAGGACGAAACGCACATCCTAAATTCCACTGCTAGCCACTATCCATCTCTACTTACCATGCTTGTGAATTAAGGCTATATTGAGGCAATACGCACAGTATGCACATATGCCAATTAGAGACTGACCAGTTGCAGTCCCAACAAAATCGATGGGAAGATTCAAACAAACAATACTAAATGAATTTACAACGATGTATAGTTTACCAGTTGTGAAATTTATG